ATTTAAATGAATTTTTTCGCCTCATTTTTATGTGTCTGTGTTTTGGATTTATGTTTTTTGTAATGGGATGCAACGTCATATTAACTACAGTGTGTCCCCAAAAAAGTACCCTTATAACAATATGATAGATACTTTCTATAGAGGGTACTTTTTTGGGACACACTGTAGTTATACAGCTATTTCAATTGTGTCACTGAGACAATAGTTAAATGTGCAATATTGGCGCTGATAGTTTTAAATAAGTTTAGTATATCAGTAGCCTCATGGGGATACTTTCAGCGACAGCTCCCAATGCAATTGTAGTTTTAGAATATACAAAATTTGGTTGTTGGTGAAAGAATTTAAATTTCGAGTTGTCTCGTGTAGCATCACAATAAATAAATAAATTGTACCAGTTCCACGAGGCACGGCGAAGGAAGTGACAATGAATTGTTTCTCTCGTAAAAACCTTGTTCTAATCCACATTTTTGAGTAACGTGCAGGGTTGGTATGTTAGATGAAGAATTAGGCCAAATCGTATTAGTGCCGTTATTGAAAACAAATAAAACAAAACACGCTAAGACAAAAAAACAAAGGCCTAATGTGACGTTGTTTGGCCTAATTGTTGAGCAAACCTATTAACCCGCTAGACCCTACGCAGTTCTTCCCGATCTTATTCAATTTGAAACTTTACACTATCCTTGGATCCCTAGTTTGTCTTTTATTGTCATTTATAATATATTCTGATAATATTGTCTGAAATATGGTATAGTATGGAAATTCAATTTTTTGTCTTAAGGGTTTCAAAACTTTCAATAACTCCACAAAAATTTTGCAGTTATATATCATATTGCAGTTATGTTCAATGTCACTATATTAACCCATTTACTGGCAGTACTCTCCCCTTGACAAGTGAAATTGTCTGTCTTTAGACAAGGAAAAATAGTCTGGTATTTATACACAGAGTAAAATATAGGCCTACACTAAAGTTGGGTGCATCCAGGCATATTGCCAGTTAATGGTTAACAGTGAAATTTAATGCCACTTTGAATATGTTTACCACTTTGAATATGTTTACCACTTTGAATATGTTTAAATTATTATTTACTATAGAAACAAAGTGCTACAAGCTCACATGGAGCAATTTCCAAAGGTCAGATGAAATTAAAGGTAGCTTCAGATGGGGGGCTGGAGCTAGAAACTATGAATGAAGAGGTAATTCATTACAATCAAAATAACTGTGATAAGAAAAATTAAATTGTCTTGCAAATGTTTATATTAGTACACTAAAATATGGAACATGTGTTGTCAATCAACCTTCCAGAAACACCTCATTGACAACCATCTTGTGCTTGACTGTGATTGAAATGATTTGTTTAGACATAGCAAAATGTTGTAAAATTGAGATGTCTTTCTACCCTTCTGTAACACCTTATATTTTCTGATAGGATATGGTGGCATATCAAGCTCAAGCTCAATCTGAAGGGAATTGGGAAAAAGCCAAAATTTATGGGAGAAACTCTGAGAAACCTCTCACCAAGTACCAGAGTGCTATAAATGAAGCAGCAATCGCCATTGCAAAGGAGGAACCTATTGTTGTTCTTGATAGAGGTATGCATTTCAAGATTTTGTAGAATGCTTGTGAAAAGTAGGGCACATAAGGGCACATTGCTAGTTAATGGGCTAAATTATATATACTGTTTATTCACTCTTTCCTCAATGGCGTTGTTTTCATGTTGCTATTTCCTCATGTTTATTGTTTAGTACAAGTCAAGAATCCTATAACAAGCTATCGTCTTTACTGAGTACAAATCTCAAAATCAGAAAAAAGTGGGGGTACATTTTTTGAGTAGATGAAAAAAAGGGGGGGGTACAGTTTAAGTTCTAGCAATTTCATGCATTGCATGACTTTGATATTATTGGGCAAAAATAAAAGAAATTTCTAGATTAGCAGGAAAATACTATTAAAACAGAAAATTTTGATAAATTAAAAAACCGAAACACCAGACAAATTATTTTTAAATTTAAATGAAAAATATACAAATGTAGTCTCGACCCCAGACCCCTAAGACGTTTTCAAAATGGCAGAATCTTTTTTCAGCCCACGTACTTGCTAATCAGCATGATCTCTTCCCAAAATTAAGGCTGTCTTAATTGTAAAAAGCATTCAAATTAAGACATTGCCTTAATTTGAACCCTAACCCGCACTTCTAACCCTAACCTAATCTTGGTCAGACCCTAATCTAACCCTAGTCTAAAATTTGATGACCTGCTCGTCCAGGGCCATTAATTACTTTTATAGCCAAAACGGCTTGTCTAATCTTGTGGTATTGTTAAATTAAGACTATGTCTTAATTTTGGAGATTTTCAAATTTAAACCATATCCTTAATTTTCAAGAGTTTTACAATTAAGACATAGCTTTAATTTTAAGAAGAGATCTTGTCAGCTAATTTCATATTTCCTTCTTTGTTTTTGAATAATCGGGGGGGGGGATTTTTCTCACATGACTTTTTTTGGGGGGTACAATTTTTAAAACGTCGAATTTTAGGGGGGGGGGGACAATTCTTGATAAACTCTTTAAAAAATAAGCACATGCCCCCCCCCTGGCAATAACTAACAAACAGTCCCTAATAAATATTTAACAAAACCCAAATAGTTATAATACAAAGTGAGCTTGGCCACAGGACCATGATGAACCAAGTTACAATCTTCTCATCAGTTTAGGTGTGGTTCCAGTGTTTGTGTTTCTCAACTAATTAATTAACAAATTCAAGGCCAGAATTAACGTTATAACAGCATGACATTGCCAAACTTGGCAAACTTGGCAAGGGCAATCAAAAACGAAAATACAGGAATATTTATAGACATGTTTTTTATAGGAAATTTGTTGAACAAAGCAAAGCAAAAAGTAATGTCGGATGGCTACCAATTCGCGAAGGGGAAGTCGAGAAGCAAAAGTGCGTCGGATGCAGAATCGGAGGGTTCAGCTACAAAAAGAGCCAAGTTAAGTTCCGAAGAACGATCCCGCGAAATAAAATTGTTGCGAGAGAATTTGCAAACGTTGACCAACCGCCTAGGTTTTAAAGCACGGCAACTTGATAAAGAACGTTGTATCAGGAACTTTAAGCAATGTGATACCATCAGCGGCGAAATGATGGAAATCCGAAAAGAGCGAGCTTCTCTAGAAAGGCAACTATCGGCACTCATGAAAAAAGAGGGAAAAGCTGAATGGTTCAAAAAGAAATCCACAAAGAAGATCAACAAAAGCAAAGATCCAGCTCCAGACACCCAGAGAAAAATCCCATTTTTATTGAAGTCCAACTCGTCAACGTCAAGTAGCACTGACGACAGTCACGACACACTTATAGTCTGCTCTGATTCAAGCATGGAAAATGGTAGAGATTCTCTACCGCCCTGTGATGAAATTCTTGTCATCAGTAGTGAAGGAAAGCAGGATTTTCCGCAAGTCCCTCCGGAGATAACAAATCAAGAGGAGGGGAAACAAATCTTATAGAAAAGTACATTGAACAAACAAAGCGACCGTTGTCCCAATTTCAAACATTAAGTAGTGATACTCATAGTTCAATATTTGAAGAGCTTAGTTTATATGAATATATTAATGCTCGTATGTTAGTTTGTAATAAAAGACATAATCAACCGTGCAACGTGTGTTCTAGAATGATTAAAGTCGCACAAACGGTACTTGATGAAGGCTTTTTAAAGCTTAAAACTGCATTTGCAATGGTTAGCCCAAACGTTACGTACACCACACTGCATGCACGAAGAAAGTTGCTCCAAATCCCGCTAGTAAGTCTCGGAATTGGGGATCAGAAAAAAGGCAATTATTCCATATATTTAGTGGAGAAGCAGTCTACGGTCCAGTATAAAGTGTTGCAATCCCTTTTGAACAATTGGGTTAATTGTCAAGACACGAAGTTGCCGATCAACTTAAGAAAGGAAACTGTGGACGAGCTCCTAAAACTTGCAGAGTCTCACGGAGAAAGACAGCGTTTAAAATACGCCATCGTTAAAGCAGCTGGTATGTCAAGTTCCCGGGCAAAAGATATGTATGGTTTTAATGATATGTCGTCCAAAATTAGTGAAGTCGAAAGTGCACTTGACGAATCTGCCGCTATTCGTGAAGTAATCGAGAATATAGCGGAAGTTAAGGACCAGGCAATTCTTCGTTCCATTGGCATCTACGATACTACGACTGAAAGTGAAGATGAAGGTGAAACCTCTGATTGTAGCGAAACAGATAGTGACATTTCTGGAGATGACGAAGATATACTCTTTAGAGTTGATGCAGCTGAAAATATGGGCGAGCCTCAAATGATGCAACTGGAACAGTCTGGAAAACAAGAGTCTGCAGACACAGAGGAAACTGAGACAAGCTCGTTGGACGATCAGCAACTTATTGATATTCTTCGTTGTTGCGACCTGAATTGGATTGAATTTGCACGTATTGTAACTGGTATACAAGAAAACAAACAACCAAATGTGACTGAGAACATGCTTCTTGAATTTGCTGGAAAATTATCAAGTCTAAATTTAACCAAAGAGGAAGAGCGTTTGGTCGATCAATCAAGGCAAGCATATCTAATCGAAAGATGGCATAAGGACAAAGAAGATGACGTGGATGATGGTTTAGTTGTCTCGGAATCCGAAAGTGATGATCCAAATGAACTGTGCCAAGTGAAAGACCCATTAGACGCCAAAGGGAAGGCAGTTATATTGAAAAAGAGGGCCGCCATTCAACGGAAAGCTAAAAGAGAGGTTGCTAAGCGCATTGCAGAAAGGCGTTTCTTGCAGAGAAGACGAAGCAAAAGAATAGGAAGAATTGAAAAGGAATGCCCCGATATTGGAAAGACGATCGAGGAGTTTGTGCGCAAACGAGGGGTTGGTGCTGACTCATGGCGCAGAACTGGAGTTTTAACGTTCGACGGAAACAGGCGTGTGGGAAAAAAGGTTACATTCCGGAGAATCCAAGAACATCTAGAGGCAAAGTACAAAAGGAAATTTGGGTATGGAACAGTTGTTCAGCTATGTATACCCAGAAACAAACGTCGAAAGTCTGCAGCTCGATACAAAGGCCTAGCTCAGGTAACAAATAGACGTGCGAGGAAGGGATTTACTTTGAAATATAATCCAGATGAACATTGGAGCGCAGCACTGTATAGGGGGTTGGATGACATACAATATAAAGACGGCAGACAGATCATGAACGTTGGTCGTGACGATCAAGCTGGCTTCCGTCTAGATACGATGACAACCAGTAAACAGAATGCGACGCTTTGTTGCAAGGATAATCTACCACTCACCACTAGAACGGATTATGTAAACCAATACCCATCTGTCTTACAGACAACTTGCTACAATTTCGCGGCTACAGAAACGACAGGTGAAGTATGTGCTGGTGTGGTAAAGGCGAAGAAGCTATTCTTCAAGAACCCTGCTCAGCATTATGCAGATATAATGATGATCGAAAGAAATGAAGACATAAAACCAGCATTTATCAATCCTCTAACTGGTAAAATAAAGGAGATGGAATGCATTAGAGTTGACGGTGGAGGAGATGAAGGACCAGTGCACGAAGAGGTGCAATACTGGTGGACAAAGCGCCACTTGATCAACGGGACAAAAGCAACCATGGTAACAACCAGAAGCAGTGGTTCTAGTTACAGGAACCGGGTTGAACTTCAGAACGGGTGCCTTGCCTTAGCACATGCAAACTTATTCATTTCATCCACTTTAAATGGTTCGTGTATGGACTCAGGCAAGGTTAATGATAATCTTCTATGCAAGAATCTTGATGCAGCGATAGATGTCTACATCTCAAGGGTGGATGAAGCCCCGTGTGCTCGAACTGTAATACATTTAATGAAGGGTGCAAAAAGTGAGGATGTTCAAATGGAGCGTGAAATCGTGCTTACATTCTTGAAAGGTAAAGTAGAAGAAAAAGAGAATGCCAAATTAACACATTCTGACTTATATAAAAGTATAGAGGCTATATGGCAGTTGAGAAAAAGGCACATGGTTGAGAAATTACCTCATCAATATGTATTCTATTTAAAATGCTGCTTTCTGCCCAATTGTATACACCCCGTGTGCAAAGGAAGTTTGCACAACATTAGCGAGGATTGTTGGTATCCAGGTGGTCCATCATTGGACTTTTTCCCCACCCCTACTCCTGACCCAGATCGTCCATATGGCAACGAAAACTGTCAAGAGTGTGTTGGTTTTTGTGCAGGACATTACATGAAGCCATCCAAGATTTTGAGTTATGTCAAAAGTGGAAAACGTCTTCCGGATGCGATACCGCCTTCGCAAGTCCTCTCAGAAACCTTTAAAAAATGTGCTGGACTTCCATCAGACGACGTTATTAGTACTACCGCAAAGCAAGTTCTGTTGAAGCAAGAAGATGTCAAGATGTGGTTTCAGCATCTTGAAGTAGTGGAGACAAATCGGAAGAAAGGGGCAAAGAAGGCTGCTGCTACGAGAAAAGCGAGAAAGGAGAAGAACAAAACAACCATTACGAAGTATTGAGGGACTCGGACGATGATGAACTGTGTAATCAATGTTACTCCTTCAACCCACCTGGCATTGAAGACGATCTCAGCATTGATTGGCTGGCATGCAACTCGTGTGCATTGTGGTACCATAAACAGTGCATTGGACTGCAACAGATCCCTGACGTTTGGCTGTGCAAGATTTGTAACAAATAAGCTTAATATACTTATTTTTGTGTTGTTATTACAGCTTGTACGGGCATACCAAAGCCGCGTTTGGCATATTTTCCTTTTTTTAATTAGTAAGGAGCCAATCACGCAATCGTAATTTAAATTTTGAAATAATTAACTGAATATTACATCATCGCAAGACTTTCAGTGAAAGTATAAACACGCTGATGAATGGTTTTGCTTAATTTTAAAACACTAAAAATAATTATGCATGAGCGGCCTCGGTATGCCGGTTCAACCTGTAAATATTTAGGTGCATTTGAAGGCTTATTTTGTTGTTATTTTGTTTTGAGAGAAAAAATATAACAGATGTTTCTGTAGGGTATGTTTTCTTTTGATGCTGCTTAGACAACTTGGGAAATTTTGCCCGAGAGAGGGGAAATTTGGTAACATTTGATCGGAAGTCTCTGCCCCAGGGTCGCGCTTTTGAACAATATTTTTTCAAAAATTCAAACCCCCCACCCTTTGCCCGGCCTCCCCCCCCCTCGGGCTTAACATTGACTTATGCATAATTTCACAGATCTTATATGAGCTAGTAACATTTATAGCAGCTCAAATAAAAAATAACCAAGTGACTGAACAGACGGGAGTTATTTCGTATTTTGTAGCAATATAAAAACTTTTGTTTGCGGTAATCTTCACCAAGTTTGTCGTTAGCTCAAGCGGTAAAGGCGCTGCGTACCGAAAGTGAAACGCAGTCGGGGTCGGGATCGATGCCGAACATTTATTATCTGATTTAGCTCTTTTTCTCAATTTTTTGTAATTTTTTTCTTCCTTCCTTTTTTAACTCTTAAAAGTTAGGCCGGTTAGTGTTTGGGATCGGTATAAAATCTAAAGTGCTTTAAAAAAGTTTTAATCTTTTTTTATCTGGTTGAAAATGTTTGAATATTGAGTTGCGAACTCAACCGCTGGTAATTCTAATTGTGATCGCGGGCACTGACAAAGAACGCCCGGGATGTAGTAAAATCCGTTTTTCAAGCTGTACGTGATGAAATATTTGTCTAGACTTGTCTAGGTCCATTACTGTCGTTCCAATTGAAGTGTTGCTCAAATATTGATTCAATACATTACCTCGGGCTGACCAATTCATTTCATCAAGTTCCTCGAGATATTCATACACTTCCTAGTATAATTGTAAACTTCCTGTTGAATAGTTTGAATGCACCGATCACCTTTGTTGTTTGTGCAACTGAACCAATCATAAATAGAAAGGAAGTGACCAGAAATGATCAAATACTTGGAATTGGCTCTTTCACAGGAAGTGTATGAATATCTCGAGGAACTTGATCAAATGAATTGGTCAGCCCGAGGTAATGTATTGAACCAATATTTGAGCAACACTTCAATTGGAACGACAGTAAACTTTAGATAAGATTGTACCGTTGTCTGTTCAGTTATATAGATACACAGTATGACGTCATAATATGAAAGTTATGATGGAAAAAACAAAGAAGTGGCTCACGAGCCGCCGAGGCGACTGGGTACTTTTTCGTTCTTCCCACATTATGATGTCATACTGTGTATCTATAACTGAACAGACAGCGGCAAAATCTTATCTAGTTGTTAAAAATAATAAAAAGAAAACCCCCGAATTAAACAGGTAATTAGCTTACTTTTTATCCACCCAAACATTTGGAAATTTAAAAAGTCGAAAGTTTACAAATATCATGTACGCGTACATGATCTATACAAATAAAGGAATAAGGTTTTGTGTGACATAATTCCGTCATGCTTCTGTCCCCTAATAGATCATGGCTCTCGACCATTGAAAGCTTAACGTTACTATATAAATTTAATTAGAGAACTAATTAATAGTATGTCAGTATTTGTTAACAACTGTCAAAATTCCAAATTTTCCTTATTCACCACAACTGCAGGAGCAAATGCCCTTGCCTCAGCCATTGAGGGTAATCTCTTCCAAGAATTTGATGAAAAGTTGAAACAATCCACTGCAGCAGGGTCGTCCCACGTTCCACCAATTACAATAAGCGTGTTTCCACGACAAACACATGAACAACAAGCTCGTTCCGTTTTCATGGCCAATAGGATCTTACTCTGGCCAGTTTTGGAATCGTACTCGATAATCTTATTGCTGGTTTTATTTTCGTCGGTATTCCCAAGGCCTCCAATCAAAAGCATGGTGTCGCCACGACGAACTGTGCCCATACAGCGAACAGGCGATGGTAGTGGTGGCATTTCAACACATTCATTTCTTGCTATGTCGAATATTTCCACATCGGTTTCTGCTCCGATTCCACCAGCGATCAACACTTTATCATCGAACAACTCCACTCCATGGAACGCTCGTTTCTTCTTCATGTGACAAAGCAACTTGGATGAATACGGAGGAACAAGGAGAAGCTCGTATATCGTATCCAAACTCTCACCTTGCTTCATGCAGCCACCAATAATCAGCAAACGATTCCCATGGACGACGCACTTGTGAGCAGAGACCTTGATAGGAAGATTGACAAAAAACTCGTGCCATTCTGGAGGATTACCATTCAGATCCAATACTTCAATGCCATCCAGACGGCCAACAGAGTCACCGATCCCGCCACAAACGAACACTTGATTCTTAAACATCACAGCTGCAGAACCCTTTCGAGCTATTTTCAACCCAGGCAGTTGTGTCCAGGTTTGGTTTAACAAGTTAAATCGCTCAACAGAAGAAAGGGACTTATCTGTTTTGGGATTGCAACCAGCGATAACAACAATATCAGTACTCTTGGAGTTTACCGACTTTTGAAGACTTTCAACCGCAATCGTCAATCGTTGCACGCACGTCAAAATTTCATGTTGCGTGGATTTCATTTCTGCTAGATCAGTCTTCATTTCGTCTACATCACGTCGTAGTACGCAGCCATGGGCGCCATATTCATGATGAGGCATTTTTTTCCCACAGTCGTCACAGGTCGTTGTCTTGAAGCGACATAAATCGAACTCGTGTTGCTTTACATCGCGTTTGCTCACGACTTCGTCACAACCTTCATTTGAGCAAGTGACAGGCATGAAATCACAGTCCTGAACAACGTGTGCCTGAAGAGCTCCAAGCTCGAGAACCGCATCACAGCCTCTCGCTGCATGGTCACAACTGATCTTGTAACGGGAAACACAGTCGGCCACAATTCTTGGAGCCTTACGCAATGTCTCTACCGTCAGTTTATCTTGACAGACAGGACAACTATGCGACGTCTTCTCCAGGTGTTTCTTGATACAACCAGAACAGAAATAGTGCTCGTTGTTCTCACATTGCTTTGGATCTTGTAAGACACCGAGACAGATACAGCAAACAAAGCCCTCGTCAATAGTTGAATGAAAGCGAGTTGTGTCGTAACCCTCGGCCATATTCTTTACGATACAAGCACAATCAAAGTTAAGTTACATCTTGGAACATAACCAGTAGAAACTGTTTCATATATTGACCTACATACGCTTGCTTTTCTTCGAAGAACAAAGTCAAAGGTGGGCAGAATGGTTCGCCCGATTCCGCGGACGTTTAAGTTTTACTGAGAACTGTTGTTCTAGGAAGTGCAAATTTCGAAATCAGTCTTGTGACTAGAGGTCATAACCTTTGAAACCATATTTGGCTAACATCCTTTTGATGCGTTTATCCTAAGATTTTCGCAAAGTTATATGATTAACAACAGAAACAAAGGAATTTTCAAGGAAGTGGTTTGCGAAAAAGTAAGGTATTTGCGAAAGCAACTGCAGTACGAAGTGTGATTTTATTTACTTATTTTATTTATTCATACAAATCATTTCAAAACGGTAGCCCTTCAACCTAAATGCTGCATGCTTTTCAAGAGACTGTCGTCAAATTATTAAATATATACTAATATATAGAAATATTAAAATAATATATTACAATTATTGCTGTGTAGTTCACATATCATGTGTAAGGCCACATAATTAATAAATTCCTTGATTCTCATCACCGCCCGACTGTATTTTAAGAGCCGCGTGAAATTTTTTTATATTTTGTTATACAATATAAATGTACCGCCCGACAAATATTTCAAGACAGTTAAGTTTTTTATATTTTATATTGGGTTTTTAGTGCCATTTTAAACTGCCAATTTCAAACAAATAGAACCTTAGTTGAAAGAAATTTCATTGCATTTTAACGGAACTTCGCATTCAGTTCAAGGGCCAGTCATTGTTCGTGGAGAAATATGTTTATTTCAGTTTGTGACACTTTTATTTATTGATATATATTAAATTATATAAATATACAATATAAAATATAAACCTCCCACCTCTTCGACATTTTCAAAGTGTAGTGATGAGAATCAAGGAATTTATTTTATGTGGCCTAAATTCAAACATCTCTGATACTGTATGTATTCTGGCAATTCACCTTCAAGGGCCTTTAAATATACCACTAAGCGATCAAAGTTTTCCTTAGATCTTATTTTGTACTGTGCTGAGGGATGTGATTTTATGCCGTCGCTACGCGAGCAATAATGTATCATATCTGATATAAATTGAGGGTTCGGTGCACATTATAAGCTGAACGGCAGCCAGGGACGCCGGAACTGGGGGGGCAGGGGGGGCGGCTGCCCCCTTGCCTTTTGCTAGGGGGGGCAGAAGTGCCCTTTTAGTTGTAAAATAATACGTGATAAATCACATTTCCAACGATGCTTTTTGTAGGAAAATCACGAGTTCAGGTAATTTATAGTTTATATTTATAAAAATTTTGGGAAATTTTTGAAATTTAGAAAAATATTTTGAAGAAATGGCGAAAATTTAAGATATCCGGAAAAATTTTTGGCTTCACGGAAAATTTTTGTATGTCCGGAAAAATTTTTTGACCCCTAAAATGGTACACGTACTGACCGAAATTTTTTTGGCGACGGGGGGGGTGGGGGGGGGTGTTAGGTCGCCAAAAAATTTTGCAGTGAAAAAAAATTTTTCAGTAAAGGTGTCCTTGGTGTGCGTCCGCCCTCGTTTGCCCTATTATCGTTCCGGCGTTCCTGACGGCAGCGTGTACAGAATTGTAATATAGAGATACACGCGTTCGTGGTGCCTTAGAACTATATAATTATATATATATACTAGAAATAATTTAACATCACACCTGCATGCCTTAGCAAACGAATTTTTTGAAGCCGATTCACATTTGGTGACCAAACATGAACACTTACGCCTGTATTCTAGAAGCTCACTCACGCTCAAAGAGTGGAGGTTCAATCTGAGCTTCCCTTGAGTGTCAGTGCTGTTTTTGAACAGCTGCAGAGGGTTATAGTTCCGTATAACTTATTATGTGACTACTCACCCTCCAGCTATTCAAAAACAGCACTGACATGTACACAAGGAAAGCTCAGATCAGTTGAACCTCCACTCTTTGAGTGTGAGTGGGCTTTTAGAATACAGGCGTTAATGTAGTTGAATAGTTGAGTATTTTAAGCTGCGGTATGAAGGTCTGAAGGATCTGCAACTATATACCTGAAAAATAGAAGCTCAACTTCGACGTTTTGAGCCGAGGCTACAAACTTTACGACGAAGTGCCTTCGCCGTGCCTTCGCTGTGCCTTCGCTGTGCCTTCGCTGTGCCTTCGCTGTGCCTTCGCCGTACCTTCGCCGTGCCTTCGCTGTGCCTTCGCTGGAAACGTCGAAGTTCTGTTTATATTTTTTACGTGGTTGTATATCCTTCGCATCCCAGCTTTCTGTTATTGTCTCTTTCTACAGTAACAACGACTACACGCGTAAAAACATACAAGTTGTTACAGCTCTGCAAACAAGTTGTTAGAAATATGTTTCCAAGTGGTTAACAAGTTGTGTTCGCATTGCTTGTTCCAAGTTGTTGTGACAAGTTTGGAACAATCTGTTAACAACTTGTAACAAGCTTGATAGCATTATCAGACTTATTACAAGGTTGTTCCAACTTGTCTGATACAGTCATGATATAACAGGAATGTTACAAGGTGGACGGCACAAGGTTGTAACAATATTGTTATATTATGACTATATCGGACTTGTTGGAACAACCTTGCAACAAGTCTGATAATATCAACAAGGTTGTTACAAGTTGTTCACAGCTTGTTCCAAACTTGTTGACAACTTGGGACAAGCAGTGCGAACACAACTTGTTGGCAGACTTGCTACAAGATGTGAGATTTTTACGTGTGGAGTTGAGTACTTTGACATTCTGAATACTTTGAATGAGAATGGCAAAGTAGTTCGTTGATTTCTACGTATGCAGCAAAACTTGACAATTTTCTGAGCATTTTATTTAGACAATCATTTGGTTACATAATGTCAAAAAAGCTTCTTTAACAAAGTTAAGCAATAACTATTGTTCTATTTGCTGTTCTTACAGTCTTCATCTATATTAGTTCTATCTATTTTAAAAGGCTGTATATATATTTAGATCAAATATGTTAGTATTTGTTAACAACTGTCAAAATTCCAAATTTTCCATATTCATAACAACTGCAGAAGCAAACATCCTTGCCTCGGCCATTGAGTGTAATCTCTTCCAAGTATTTGATGAAAAGTTGAAACAATCCACTGCATCAGGGTCGTCCTTCGCACCACCAATTACAAAAAGCGTGTTTCCACGAGAAACACACGAACAATACGCTCGCTCAGCTTTCGTGGCCAATAGGACCTTACTCTGCCCAGTCTTCAAATCGTACTCGCTAATCTTATTGCTGGCTTCCTTTGCGTCGCTATTCTCCATTCCTTCAATCAATTCCTTTGCTATTCTCCATTTCTCCATTCCTCCAAAAGCATTGTGTCACCATGGATTGTAAAATAACTGGATAGGAAACTTCCTGATGTCACAGTCTAAACCTAGTTGCAATCTGTGACGCCACGCGTATTGCCAAAGTTCTCAGCATTTTTGTTGTTTCGCTATATTTTTCGCCTTAAAAGAGTATTATTGAGGCATAAACTGGTCTAATTGTTTTAAAAACATGCTTATAAGCCACGACAAAGTATTCAAGGTAAATGTTTTTCCTCTTTGTTTTGTATTTTTTTACATTTGTAGCTACGAGATTGGCATCGCCAATTTTCACTCTTTAGTGCTTGAAATATTTGCTAAAATTGACTGGGAATACTTAGAGATTTCATTGTAGGATGGCGTAGTTATATTTATTTGCTCTTTGACTAAAATGTTTAGCCGTATTATTGCTAAACATGCCGTTTTTGAGAATTTAGTTTGTAACTAGGTTTGAACATGCAACCACGCCATCAGCCCATTGAAAACATTGGGTCACGTCAGCTAGTTTCCTATCCATTTATTTTATCCATGGTGCCACCACGACAAACTGTGCCCATACGGCAAACAGGAGATGGCAGTGTATGGTGGCATTTTATAACATTCATTCATTTCTTGTTATGTCGAATATTTCCACACCATTACATACCGATGGTATTTAGAGAATAAGTTTAAGGACCCAAATATATGAATCATTGACTCACTTCTCTAAGCTGAATTGCAGCGTGTATAGAATTGTAATGTAGAGATATACGCGCCCGTAATGCCTTAGAACTATATACTAGAAATAGTTTGACATTACAGGGCCGTAGGAAGCTCTTTTCGATTGGGGGGGCTGAAAGCGAGGGCCGAAGGCCCGAGGAAATTTTTAAATTTAGAGTCTCTAAAATGCCATTTCCTGGACTTTGGGGGAAGATTTAACAGAATTCTGATAGTCAGAAAACAGCGTTTTAGTATGTCGAAATTTACAGGAAAGTATGGGCCAGACTGTAGTATTATAAATGCGCGGCGGGAATTTTCGTCGTAAATGGCAGTTGCGCGGAAATGAAGGCAGAACATTTGAGAAAATTTCGAAAATCTGGAGTCTCTAGATGGTCTGAAATGGCATTTTCAGAGTTTTCTTTCGCAAGACCCAACACGCAAAAGACAAAATAAATCATTAGTTCATCAAAAATGTGCAGATTTTGTGGGATTTTCTTGAAAATGCGCGACAGAAATTCAGCTAAAATTTCTAAGCGAGGAACGATCTGGAGTATGAGTAATATCTTCATTCTTTGCAGTTTGTCACAGATTAAATGATAAAGTTTGCATGATTTTGAAAAAAGAATGATTATTAGCAAATTATTGGGAGGGCTGCAGCCCCCCAGCCCCCCCGGTTGCTACGGCCCTGCATTACACCTGCGTGCCTCAGGAAACGAATGTTTTAAACACATTCACATTTGGTGAGCTAACATACAGACTTAATGTTGAATAGTTGAGTATTTTAAGCTGCGGTATGAAGGTGTGAAGGATATACAACTACCTGAAAAATATAAGCTCAACTTCGACGTTTTGAGCCGAGGCTACAAATTTTCCGACGAACGGCTTTCGCGGCTCGAAACGTTGAAATTCTGTTTATATTTTTCACGTGGTTGTATATCCTTCACATCCCAGCTTTCTGTTATTGTCTCTATCTACAGTAGCAACGACTATACACGTGAAAACCGAACACAAAAGTTGTTACAGGTCTGCAAACAAGTTGTTACAAAACTGTTCACAGCAGTCGACAATTTTAAAAGTTGTGTTCGCACTGCTTGTTCCCAGTTATTGTAACAGGTTTGGACCAAGCTGTTAACAACTTGTAACAAGCTTTGATATGGCATTATCAGACTTGTTACAAGGTTGTTTTAACAAGTTTGATACAGTCATGATATAACAAGAATGTTACAAGGTATATATCATGACTGCATCGAACTTGTTGGAACAACCTTGCAACAACTTGTTGACAACTTGGGACAAGCAGTGCGAACACAACTTGTTGACAGCTTGTTGGCAGACTTGCTACAAAATGTGAGATTTTTACGAGTGTGGTTGAGCACTTTAACTGAGAATGTCAAAGTATGTCGTTGATTTCCACGCATGCAGCAAAACTGGAAAATTTTCTGAGCATTTTATTTACAAAATCACTTGGTTACATAATGTTCACAAAAAGCTAGGCCTCTTTATCAAAGTTAAGCAATAATTATTGTCTATTGTTCTATTTGCTGTTCTTACAGTCTTCGTCTATTTTAATTCTGTCTATTTTAAAAGGCTGTATACATAATTAGATAGTATGTCAGTATTCGTTAACAACTGTCAAAATTCCAAATTTTCCATATTCACAACAACTGCAGAAGCAATTACCCTTGCCTCAGCCATTGAAGGTAATTTTTTCCAAGAATTTGATAAAAAGTCGAAACAATCCACTGCATCAGGGTCGTCCTCTACACCACCAATTGCAATAAGCGTGTTTCCACGAGAAATACACGAACAGTCAGCTCGTCCCGTTTTCATGGCCACTAGGACTTTACTTTGACCAGTTTTGAAATCATACTCGATAATCTCATTGCTGGCTTGATCTTCTTCGTCATTCTTCATGCCTCCAATCAAAAGCATGGTGTCACCACGGCGAACTGTGCCCATACTATGAAGAGGAGATGGCAGTGGTGGCATTTCAACACATTCATTTCTTGCTATGTCGAATATTTCCACATCAGTTTCCGCTCCGATTCCACCAGCGATCAACACTTTATCGTCGAACAACTCCACTCCATGGAACGCTCGTTTCTTCTTCATGTGACAAAGCAACTTGGATGAATACGGAGGAACAAGGAGAAGCTCGTATATCATATCCAATTTCTCGCCTGCCTTTGTATCGCCACCAATAATCAGCAAACGATTTCCATGGACGACGCACTTGTGGCCAGCGACCTTGATAGCAAGATTGGCAAAAAACTCGTGCCATTCTGGAGGATTACCATTCAGATCCAATACTTCGATGCTATTCAGAGACGTACCAGAGTCGTTGAACCCACCATAAACAAACATTTGATTCTTAAACATCACAGCTGCAGACGCGTGTCGAGCTATTTTCAACCTAGGCAGTTGTGTCCAGGTTTGGTTGAACAAGTTAAATCGCTCAACAGAAGAAAGACTCTTATTTGTTTTGGGATTGCAACCTGCGATGACAACAATATCAGTGCTCTTGGAGTTTACCGACTTTTGAAAACTTTCAAACGCAATCGTCATCCGTTGGACGCACGTCATAATTTCATGTTGCGTGGCTTTCATTTCTGCTAGATCATTCTTCATTTCGTCTACATCACGTCGTAGTACGCAGCCATGGGCGCCATATTTATGATGAGACATCTTCTCTCCACAGTCGTCACAGGTCGTCTTGAAGCGACATAATTCGTGCTCGTGTTGCTTTACATTGCGTTTGCCCACGACTTCGTCACAACCTTCATTTGAGCAAGTGACAGGCATGAAATCACAGTCCTGAACGTGTGCCTGTAGAGCTCCAAGCTCGAGAACCGCGTCACAGCCTCTCGCTGCATGGTCACAACTGATCTTGTAATGTGAAACACAGTCGACCACAATTCTTGGAGCCTTACGCAATGTCTCTACCGTCAGTTTATCTTGACAGACAGGACAACTACACGAGGTCTTCTCCAGGTGTTTCTTGATACAACCAAAACAGAAATAGTGCTCGTTGTTCTCACATTGCATTGGATCTTTTAAGACACCGAGACAGATACAGCAAACAAAGCCCTCGTCAATAGTTGAATGAAAGCGAGTTGTGTCGTAACCCTCGGCCATATTGAGTAATTCTATTCGATACACTCGCGATCAAAGTTAAGTTACATCTTGTAACATGACCAGTAGAAACAGTTTCATATATTGACCTAGCTACATACGTTCGCTTTTCGTCGAAAGACGAAGGCAAAGCTAAAACAGAACAGTTCAACCGAATCCGCCGACGCTTAGCCGGTCTTCTAGAAAATGCAAATGTCAAAATCAGTCTTTTGTGACTAGAGGTTGTAACCATGTAAGCCTACAGTCGTTTTGCCTTCAGTGTGTTTATCCTAACATTTTCGCAAAGTTATATAATCAGCAACAAAAACGAAGGAATTCTCAAGGAAGTAGGTTACGAAATAGCAAGGAATTTGCGGACGGGGGATTAAAGGCACAATGTCGCCTGCTGTGCTGAGCGATGTGATTCTATGCCGTCGCGACAAATCCATTATAACAAGAATGCAAGTATTTATCATGTAATATATCATTTGTCATGTCGGGAGACCAAATCTAAGTTATTTTGACAAATCTATCTAAATTGAGGGATTCGGTGTAAATTAGGCCGACTTACGGTACAATATCGCCACTTCCGTTCTCACAAATGTGAAACTAACCTGATTCTTGGCGAACATGTTATTACATGTTATTACATGTTATTGCATGTTCGGCCATGCAAATATGGTTGCAAAGACTACGACCGCTCGTCACAAGACTGATTGCGAAATTATGTGGGCTTCAATCAGATTTTATACGAAATCTCAAATTCACCAATGAAATTTAACGTAGTTGGCGCAATTCTATGCTAATTACTGATCACTTATCCAGTTGGCCTCACAATTGAGTTTCCTTTTATTTACTGCTTATAAATAGTCGCTGGGGCCCTGCCTCGTCGCTTCAGTTGGGAATAGAGATCAGTAGAAAACAATGGGAGCGCGGGGCTTAATGGGAATGCGACAGAACCTCAAATTAACGCGACCGCGCGTACGAATGACGGATGAGGGACTGTGGAAGAGTCAGGCTGGGGCCCAGGCGATAAATAATAATAAAGGACATAAAAGGTTTCACATTCGGTTTAAATTTCTCCTCTAGATCTTTTTTCGCCACAAATCGACAAATTATATAATCTGTCTACAGTCGAAATTACATAATCGAAGCTAGAAGGCAAATCAAACCAAACTTTCAAATCTTAGAGAATATGTGTTTATGCTAAAAACCTGACTTCATGTCAGACTCCAAACCATAGACTGTAAAGGCGTATTCTGAAATCGAAAGGTAACTTCTTTAGTTTGGTACGCTATACGTTGGCTACGAAGGTCGTTAGGTGTTACGCATGTAAACCTGTAGTATTTCAGTCATTTCACAATCAAAGTAGTATATTTTTAACGGGGAAATGTTCTGTGAAGTGCACATATTTTTCTTAGAGTTGGCAACGAATACGGTGTACTCGCAGATCGTAAGCACATATCAAATGACAGTTTTGACATGGTGACACAAACTGGAAAGTAGACCTTACCGTGAGATATTATACATATCAGGTCTTGTCAGGATTAATTGTAAGGTTATTCCTTAGCATTTAAATATAGGTGCAGTTATAGATGATGTTCATTGATACTCACAGGGTCTTGTAGGCTGACCATGCTATTGATAGATAGAATAGGTAGATGTTGTACAATCTACAAAAATGTGGTTATGGTTTTAATAGAAATACATTAAAAATGCCGTGTAACCAAGTCTACCGTGTACTGACTACACATTTAGTTTTTGCCCAGGCGCAACTTGTTCCCGCATACCAGTTCTTCTTGCCTGCCTGGCACGAGTCAATCCTGCAAAGTCAGGATCTTGTTATTACATGGATTTAAGACGTATAAACTCATGCCATCCTCTTTGGCCTAAATAAACAGCGACTTATTGCAAATTAACAGTTTGTACAAGTCCTTCGCGAATTATCGTATAAGTGGCCTTTCCGTCACATCGTTGATAAAACAAGTTTAATTATAGGGTTAATAAATCAGCGAGCAATTAGTCGTCTTATTGATAAATATATTTTATCTTATTAATTAATTGTACATCATGTTTGTCTGGCATAGATATAGCGGAATAAAAATCGCATGAAAAGCCTACATGGGTACCGTATACGGTGTATAACGGTAATGACGAACTCTAAGCGTTCTGGGTACTCTATAAAGCAGAGTAGCTGCGTCAAAATTATATATTGTTGGTCGACTCTGTTAGGCGAAAATATGAAGGGAAATTTGAATACTAAGGCACCAGGGGCCGGTTGTTCAAAGCTGGGTTAGCTTAACCCTAGGTTAACCTAAAATTCAAAGCAAACTTCCCGATAGCTTGTCTATAAATTTGGAGATATTTCTTCAGAAATCTTGTCTGGATCGATAGAGGTTTACTTCTCTGAAGTTTTGAAATAAACAGACGTGCAGAAATACACAAACTAAAACACCGGGTTAAATTTTAACCCAGGGTTAGTGCTAACCCACCTTTGAACCGGCCCCAGTTTTCCGTAGCGGCGCGAAAAAGCACCTATCTGATACGGAATGTACAAGTTTCAGAAGCTGAGCGAAACAAGATCTCTCCGTTGCAATAATTCCTCTGAAAATAGCGTTCCTAAAAGGTACGGAAAGGCGATTTTCACGTCGCTACCGATACGGCTATCCAAGTAAGTATATGGCCTGTTCATACAAGTCCGCGGTAATCTGTACAAAATTAGGTCTGTACTTCATCTTCCAGTGATATTTTGGATCTGTATATATAGCTTACCCAATGAATCTACTCTAACCCCAAACAAATCTTAAAGTATATGTGCTGATCCAAAATATCTTTTCAAGCCGACGAATTGCTTATTAAAATAGTGCCGTGAGAGACGTGCTACTCAGTTTGTATGTACATATATAACATGAACCGAGTGAGCACTGATTTCAAAATTTTGGTGAAAATCAGTGTACAAAAATATGCAGATTTGAGATGTTTCGGTTTGTCAGACAGGGTTGTTCCTAGCGCGTAATTAGGGGAGGGGGTGTATATTCATATATTGGTGTTTTGCCCGACGGATTTTTTTTGAGACCGATTGTTTTTACGGTATGTGAACGTGAATATATGAATATACACCCCGCCCCAATTATCGCGTCTAGGAACGGCCCTGCTGTCAGGAATGTTGGAACAACTTCATGCAACAATTCTGTTGAGCTCAACAACAACCTTGTATAGCAAGTTTTCAACAAGCCGTTGACAACTTGTTAACAAGCTGGAAACAAGCAGTGCGAACACATCCTGTTGACAAGTTGTCTCAATATGTCTCAATATTCAATATGTCTCTTCCATCACCCGCGGTTTTAAACAGCATCGTTCGATCAATTGACCATTTGCGTAATAGACTAAATTTTTATCTCAACAAAAATTTCATTACAGCTTGAAAGAGCATCACAAAATTAGTAATATTCCAAAGTTTCGTTGCAAAATGTTGTAAAATGCGGAAAATATAGCCTTGCGAA